TTTTTCGCCTACATTACTTTTGAATCCGTTTTTTTTCCTCACCACCGATTTCTAATTTTAACAGAAAGATATTTTATTAGTTGCCAGGTTGTCAGCCTCACTTTTTTGATCTACCAAACGAAGCTTTCAAAATTAAATGTCCTACTCAAATGGATAACATTAAATAGCTCAAAAAAATTATTAAATTTTGAAATTGTGCTGCGTATTCTTTCGCTTAGTTGCCATGACTACCATCTGGTGTACCTGAATGGAGCAAACCAAAACCCACGTGATACTGAACAATAATTACAACTTTTTGCGGGAAATAAACTTTTCACGGAAATCTCTAGGTGGAGAAGACAGACAATTGGCCGTAAAATCGAAGCAAGTGAAATTGGCCTAAAACAGGAAATCGTTGGATGACAGAGGTAGGGAGGGAAGGTGGGTGGATAGTGAAAACGCTGGGCTATTTTGGGAGTCCATTTTGTAAGTCCGAATTGTGCACACACGTATTGGCACATATTCTTCTGCTACACCAGAAGCACGGCAGAAGAAGCTGTAACAACTATGCGAGAAGGTTGTGTATGGGTCATGTGAAAATGAAAATATTTTCTGCCTGTCGACTTCACTCTTTCAATGGTTTGTCAGTAGGCAAATTAGTGGTTATTTATGAATAAAAAGTATCTCTTAAACAAATTTTATGGATTTTTTTCCAAAGCAAGTCGACTTAAAAGGTAGAAATGTATTTGTAATTATTTTGAAATAATCTTAGCATTGCTTACTTTGGCATTTATCAATCGCTACATGATGACCTGTGGGGGGAGGGAGAGAAGGTGACTACCAGCTGACAAATCAACTCATTCTATCATGTTTTCTCGGTTCTCTCTGGAATCAGGCGACGAAATCAGCAAGGACTCTACATCTCCCATCTTCAAGGTGCGGATTTCAGAGTCCTCTTTAGAATGGCAAGGACATCCAGAAAAATCACCTCCCCCCATTACCGTTCAGGAAGCCAGCAGCATACGCACCTATTCGACCTGCTTCTGTGCGTGGCTACGAGAAGTGAATGCAATGCGACGTGAAGTAACGCGAGCCTTTCTATTGGGTCCCTTTCTGATGCTGCACAACCTCATGATGGTACCAGCAGATCTGGGTCTTCTGCCCTCGCTAGTTCGACCGGCTCCAAGCGAAGTGGAGACTGCAACCACTGTCGTACAACGTCAGGTGTTTCGACGGATTCAACTACCATTGGACAAGGTTCTGCATGTACAAAAGGTTACAAAGGCCAGTTTTTCTGAGATCTCAATGAGCCTTCTCTCTGGAGCCTTGAGAGCTTATCAACAGGTTAGAAAATGGTTATTTTTTAAAAAAAATATATGGGGTGTAAAGTAGAGCTGAGAAATTAAAAAAAAATTCATAATTTTTTGTTGTCAAACGCATCATTACTTCGTAAACCTTTTTTATAATTCACACATAAGCTAGGAGCAACGTTCAAACTCTTTTCATCAGAACTTGTAGATTTGATTCCACGACTTTGATGCATCTCGGTGGGTCTAGGATCACTTCTTACCTTCGAACAGCATAATGGTGATCGACTGGTAGTATATTGTTGAAAGGGAGTCTTTAGTGGTCAATCTGTCCCTTGTTGCATGCGGGAATATTTGTTCAAAACCAGAGCTATGTAGGTCCTAAATTGGGTATTTATTCCTTTTTCTTACTTTGTCATGATTTCAATACTAACCAGCCGTGCACCTGGATCCCCTCAACTTTACAGGATGCAGATCTCTATGTCTTGAGGCAAAAATCTCCGGCACGTCCTAATCCTACCTACTCCGCCTTTACTGCGCTCATTAGTATTGTGAGGCTGTATGATCCAGTCGTTCACTAAAAGCGCGTTCTTTCGGTTAAGTACAGATTTGGCCACCAATCCATGAAGTCAGTATTGTTCGGTGAGTGCTGCAAATTGTGCAGACGAGCTACCCACAAAAACATTGTGGATAAAACAGTTTAGAATTCGCGTAAATAAAGTCAATGTTCTGTTACAGGTCTATACGGAATGGGAAGAGTTGAGAACCCCTTATAGGTAATTTTAAAGGGTAATCAAATATGCCGCCAAAAATTACTTTATTCCGGGTAAATAATCAACCGTTCAACTTAAAATGTCCAGTTTGCAATTTTTCCCAAAGAGGGGGGCGCATTAACGTCTCCTGAAGGAAACAGTCGACCTTCCTACCACAATTTTATCTTCTAATCCACTTTAATCACGTGATTGTCTGATGGCATGAAAAGGTGGTAACCACGTGAAGGAATTGGCGAGGAAATGACGGAGAAGGCAGTCTTCTTTACCCATTCCTAAAGTACGGCACCTTGACTTCCTCTTCAGAAGACGATTTAATGCACAACTTCGAGATGTGTCATGTCGAGTGGATAGACTTTGGCCGCGCTTGTTTAGCTTTAGTGAGAAAGGCATAGTGAACAACTGTCTGCATTCCAATGCACACAAAGTGACCCTACACTTCTAACGGTGGAGTGGTGCCTTAGAAGTGTCGGCATGACCTGTGATGTGTTTGTTTGTTCAGTCAGCAAACCATCCAATAATAATATTTACTTTGTGGTTACAATATAGCCATTTTGGAACCAAACACATGGAAATGCGAGGAATGGGGGTGGGGGGCACGCTGTTCTGCTACCACGACTTTCGCGACTCTGGATTTCATCGTGAAGTAGACAAGCTCCAATCATACCTTGACGTAAGTGACCTTGAAGCAGGAGGAAAACTTATGACAACTCAATGAAGGGTACCGAAGTGATAGATTTGCGCATATCTATGCGTCATGCTATCCATCTCACAGGTCTTCCTATCCTCTCTCCCTCCCACTTGTGGAAGGTGGGATAGAATCTATCTTTGCCCCCTTGAATGACGTCTCCTGCATTGACCCCACCAACCAGTGTATATTTTTGTTTAGTCAAGCATAACTGTCAAAGTTTTTTTGATTATTTTTAAACCATTTGTCAAGAACTTGCATTCTTTCGGACACACACAGCAGGATGTGATAGAGTGTGTGTAGTCGTTTTTGCGTCATTTTTACCACAAATACGGCGACAACATCAAGAGCAACGCGAAAACATCGCAGTAAGATGTAATAAAAGTAATTTTTATGCCCAATTTTCTGGTTTATAGCATTTGCTGATCATAAAAGGATAATTAATTGTGAAGAGAGGTTTGAAAAGGTGGAACAAGGAAGGCAGAGGACCCATTCACATAGAATATGTCTTGGTATTACAAGGTGAACAAAAAGATTGTGCGGCTTACCAATTTAATCCGATGGAAGTGAGTTGAGGCGTAAATAACCGAGGACCTTCATTCACTGGCCAAACTGAGTGATGCAACAATTGGCTCACGTCCACACTACTTGGAAAGGGAGAGTTGTCGGGAAGAAGCAAATGGATCACCCTCATCTGTGTGGA